TGGGATGACGGCTCAGAAGCCCCTACCTCTGGGCCGGGAACAGTGGGACTCAGTACCTTGGTCTGGTGGTCTGGTGTCCTCTGCGTCTTTGTAGTGTGGAATCAGGTGGCTGCCTGTCTGCAGCGGGGTGATTCAGTGTCTTCTGCGTGACTCAGGACCTCAGTAGGGCATGCACAGACCTGCCTGTCTGCAGCAGGCTGATTCAGTGTGTGTTCCGTGTGACTGGGGACCTCGGTAGGGTGTGGGTAGACCTGCCTGTCTGCAGCGGGGTGATTTAGCGTGTTCTGAAAGGTTTTTAAGTAGATGAATAATGTGTTAGTAACACATTTCATCTTGAGGTCACTAAAACTGGGCTCCACTGAGGAAGTCATTATCAGAAAATTTGTTGGTCCAGCTTTATGTGGGCCCATCCTCATGACTCCTTACAGTCAAACACAGAGTTTTGAAGACTCAAAAACATCTTTGGGGACAAAATAGTAAATGTGTACAGCTTTAGTAGCTTAAAACCTTACCCATCTTTCAGCACACAGTTCTGGAAGACAGAAGTCTACCATGTTTTGTCTGGGATTTCAACTCAGGGTTATGAGACTGGAATTGAGGTACTAGTCAGGCTAGATTTACTTCTGGGAGCTCTGGGGGAAAATCTACTTCCAAACTCATTCTTGTTGATAGAACCCAGTTCCTGGTGGTTTTAAGACTTGGGATACCCGTGTCCTTGCTGGTAATCAGGCAGGAGCCTCTTCCAGCAACTAGAGGCTACCTAGTCTTTGCCATTTGGTTGCTTCCATCTTCAGGCCAGCAGTGGCACAGTGAATCCTTTCATGCTACCAAACTCTGACTTCCTCTTCTGCCCCCATCCAGAGTACCATTTTTTTTTTTTTTTTTGAGAAAGGATCTGTCTATGTTGCCTAAGCTGGCCTTGAACTTACTAAGGAACCCATGGTGGCCTCAAACTCATGATGACCCTCCTTCCTCAGCCTCCCGAGTGCTGGGATTACAGGCGTGTGGCACCTCTTCCAGTCAGAGCTGTACATTTGAAGAGCTTGTCTGGTAGCATCAGGCCCACCCAGGATCCTCTGTCTTCTGCTGTGTAATATAAAGTAATCACAGGAATGATATCTCACTATAGCCACCGCTTCTACCACACTGAAAGGGTAGAAATTTATGCAAGGGTGTCATCTTAGAACTTTCCTGATCTTGGAGGACAAACTGGTAATGAAATTAGTGATCTGGGCTGAGTGTGATACATCAGGGAGTAGTGGAGCCTATGGAGAAGTAAAGGAAGGGCCCTCTCTTCAGTTCTTGTTGCTTGTTAGAAATGGAAACATACTGTTGCCATTCTTCCCATTTTACCAGAGAAACTGAAAAGTGATGTGTTGTTTTTTAAATGAAATCTCATATTTGCTAAATCTGGACAGCTAATTATAAGTAAATGAAATTACTATATGAACTAAAATAAGCATGTCCCAGGTGCACCAGCTCTGCTCAAGTGCTTCATAATCCACACAGCTTGTCTCATTCATAACCTTGTTGACCTCTTACAGAAACCATCAAAGTCCACTAAACAAAGAAAATATTATTCCAATACACAGATGAGAAAACTGAGACCCATAGAGAATTGTTCATTTAAGGCAGTGTTGCTCAACCCTAACTACATGTAGAATAATCTTGAGAGCTTCTAAAAATACCTATGACTGTGGAGTCCAGACCAATTAAATTAGAATGGCTCAGCAGGGGGCTCACATCTTCGTCCCTGGGTCACTCTTCCTTCTTCTTTCATAGAGCACGGCGACCTCCCAGGGATGCCTCAGTGTGGGCCCAGGGTGACTTGAGTCTGGAGGTAGATGCAGCAGTTGTGGAGTAACAGGCAGGAGACCTCAGTGGGGAGGAGGGACCTGAGGGACCATGTGGCCTTGCTTTAGTCTGGTTGTGCCATATCCCCAGGGTTCTCATCAGTACACAAGAACATGCCTGCCCTGGCTGGGGGCCTCCGGTGGGCACAGGAGCTGAGGCAGCGCATCCAGGGTCCTTTCAGCAACTTCAGACGCATCACATATCCGTGAGTATCTTGCTGCTGAATGTCAGGTTTGTTTTCATTCTGTACTTTGAATGTGGAAGATCACTTGCCTACAGCATGAAAACCAGCTTCATTTCTTCTCATTTCCAGCAACAGGCTAGATAGCTATGGCCAAGCAGTAAAGATACTGGTACATTTGGACTGAGGTCCAAGCCAAGTCCCTCTGAGTCAGCCAGGCTTAACTGACTACAGGCTGACCCCCTTTTGGTCCTGGGCCTCATTTCTGGGAGAAACCATGTCCGAGACTGCAAGCTCTGGGGAGGTCTTCCACAGTGCTCCCTCAGATGAAATATCTCTTTGCTGCTGAGGCTGCTGGGGCTGCTGGGAAGCAGTGAAGCCAGAGTTCCTTAAAGGGCACTATGAGGACGCCCTGGAGGAGCTTGTTAAAGATGCAGCTGCTTGGGCCTCACCTGTCACCTACTGTGACTCTGTGACTCTGCTTCTTGCCAGTCTCCCCCTGTCACTCTGATGGTGATCAGAACAAGAAAGCATGGGCCTGCTTCATGGGTGAGTCTAGAAGTCAAGATACTTAGAGACCTCTTAGCTGCTAGGTATGAGTGAAAGGAGTCATTTGGGACATTATGTCTGGAATACCATTAGGGATGGGCACTCTTTCTCTGCTCTTTTCTCTCAAAACACTTGATCTTGTTCAAAGCACCTGGCTTTGGGACATACAATGAAAGGAAATAATTAGAACTGGCCATTATTATCACAAGCTTTTGAAATTAGAAAGCATTGTAGAGAAGCTTAGGCCCAAGTACTAAGTACCAAGCATATTACAAGGCTTAACTGACCACAGACTCACTCCTTTTGCTCCATGGGGTTCATTTCTGGGAGAAACTGAGTCAGAGATTGCAAGTTCTAGGGAAGTCTTCTACAGAGCCCCTCAGACAAAATGTTTCTTCTCTGCTGAGGCTGCTGGTAAATAGTAAAGCCAGAGCAAGGCACATGAGCCAGAGGGTGTGAGATGGCAGGACAGAGTATTGAAGGGGGCTGTCACCTCTCCACTGGAGTGTCACCAATTAGAAAAGCGACCCCAGTGGGAGTTATCTCCTTCATATTGCAGAGAGATTTTAAATCTGCCTTTGAAAGTTGGACGTCCAACTTTGAAATGCCTAAGAATTCCATTTTCCCCGGACTGCACAGGTCGAACACAGCATGTCTCTGGGAGAGGTGTACCCAGGGTGTGATCATGTACAACACCTGCTAGGCAGACTCCATAATCTGCTGATGAAGGAATGAAGGATAGAGAAGTGAAGTTATTTGCCTAAGGTTTCAGAGACAGAGGACTGGAAAAAAATGTCTGAGTCTTGGGTCTCCCAGCCCAGAGCTCTTCCTGGGGCTGCCCAGCCATGAAAAGTTTGGCTGGGAGTAGAGCCAAGCCCTCACACTTCTTAGACATTCCATTAAGGAAGAAGGAAAAAGAAATGTGAAGGTAGGAAGGGATGTTGGGCTGTTTTCAGGAATGTGGACTACACAGCTACCATAGATCTAGCTCCAGGGAACCAGGAACTCTGAAATATGTATGCAGAAATTGATAAAGATGTTCTCGGGAACAGTACCCATGAGGGACAGAGGGGAAAGAGATGGGGTAGGGGAGAGGTTGAGCTGCTGGATAGTAATAGCCAAGGCTTCAGTTAATTCACTGAGGGGAGGAATGTCCCTTGAGAGCTGCCCTGCCTTGTGCCCCTACATGAGCTAGTCCTGGCTTGTGGGCTCACCTGGAAATCGACACAGCCTTGTCTTTGATTGCGGCTGTTGTCAAAGAAGAAAGCAGCTATGCTGCATCTACAGCCAGCATGGCTGACCAGAGTGGGACTGGGTTTAGGGGAAGTCTGGGTGTGGTCAGAGGGCCTGGTCCCAAGAGGAAATCTGGATGGCACATAATGGCAACCTCCGCAAGACTCATGAAAATTCCCGTTTTCAAAATGAATCCAAATGTGTAATATATATTTGTTAGTCATTCAAAATGTTGTGCATTCTTTGCCATGAAGTGAAATGGAAGTGACAGGGAGTCTGGGTGTACTGCTTCCTGTGCCTTCTCAGACCCACTAAGTGACTGCCATATGCTCCATGTGAGAACTCTCTGACCTTTATCTCTTCCAAATACAAAAGAGTGAGATCTGTGGGTTGTGAGACTTGTGGAAATCCCACAGAGTGTGAGGGGAGAGCTAGGCAAGAGCCGACCCAGCTGGTTGGGGGACTTCTGCTTCCCATGGCTGCCTCACGGTGCACTTGTTAACTCACCACAAAAGGGAGCTCAGCCACTTGGGGTGCAGAGCTTCCTTTGCAGACAGGAGAGAGGATTGAAGGGAAGGCTCAAGGGATCTGGTGGATTTAAAGAGCAAATAGACTGTAAAGACTCTTCCCAATAAGCTGCCTCATTTTGCTAGCAGGACAAATACAGATTCCACATAGTTAATGTGAAGGTTTCTGAAAAATAAAGATACTTCACCAATTGTCCCAGGAGCCGGACTTTCGTTGAATGTTGCAGCATGTATCAAAACCAGGGGAAACAGTTGTGGGTACCAGTGCCTCAGTCCAGACTGCCCACTCTCCTCTGGGGTCCTCAGCATTCTTGTGGAAGCCTCTGCGTGTGTGTGTGTGTGTGTGAGAGAGAGAGAGAGAGCACATGCATGTGTGTGTGTATGTCTCAGTGCATGTGCGCACAATTAGGAGGTGACAGGTGGGTGGGACCTCATATAGCATCTCAAGGAGTGGCAATGTTCTTTATCACTTGCCTTAGATGAATTTTTAAAGACAGGAAATCATCTACCTATATATTGTTATATACAAATACATATGTACACATATATAAGAATTATATATACTTGTATATGTACATATATAATGTCATGCAGCTCATAGTTTTTTTCTTTTTCTAGGATTTTTCTTAAATATTTTAATTTCCCTTGTGCTTAGATTTATTTATTTATTTACTTACTTATATTTGTACTGGGGATCGAACTCAGGTCCTTGCGCTTGCGAGGCAGGCACGGTGCCACTGAGCTACATCCCCAGCCCCCTTGTGTTTAGATTTCTTGAGGGCCTTCCCTTCCCTTGTAGATGACTAACTCAACTAGGTGAAAGGTTGGCGAAAGCTCTGGGGAAGGTTTCAACATCCTCATCAACTATGGTTTAGCCTGAGTTTTAGCAAGTGCAGGCGCCCTCTAGTGGTTCGAGGAGGATGTTCAGGAGGAAGAATGTGAGCGCCTTCAAGGGTATTTGGAAACCAGCCCCAAAAAGCCATGCAGCCTCTACAGGCTGCAGTTTGTTCCTCAGATCCTTATTTTGACTTCTGATTCTATATAATTTTTTTTCTCTTGTGTACGGATAGTTGCATGGAATCTGCTGAAGGAAAGCGAATGATACAACAATATGAAGATATATTGTCATTGCTGGAAAAGTAAGCAGCTTCTGGGATTGATTGCCTCATCCTACCAATTGCAGATCCCTCCCCCACAATGCCTGTTGCTGTTCCAGGTTCATGCAAGTTCCTTAGCAGCTCTGAAATGTCGCTGTGTGTTTTATGTTATAGCCTAGGTACTTGTGAGTGTAATATTTCTAGGTTCCACATACAGGGTCTATGCTAGACACATATGCTTTCCCAGTGTAGCTTTGCTGGGAGCATGGTACAAGCCCTTCGGAGCTAAAAGGTGTTGGACCAGATGAGCAATGAGCATCTCAGAAAATCACAGCCGCTACTCACGAAGCAGAAAGCAAGAGTCAGTGCTGCACTGAGAAGAAATAAGTCTAAAAAATGTCTCCTGCATCCCTTTATGAAGAAAGCATAAGAATGAAAATTTTATACTGGTTCATCATTGTTCCTACTTGAAAGCTGAGTAGGTCCTTTTGAAAGTGTAAGATCTAGAAACAGCCTGTGGTCTTACTTCTCCCTCTGCCATTTGCTCTTTCTCCTGATGCAAGAGATAAGAGAGTAGATATGATGACTGGGATTCTGATTTTGCTAGGCATTGTGTTAGATAAATCAACTGGTGGCACCCTCACCTGCCAGATAAGCTGTGCTCTATTCCCTTTACTTCCCAAATAGCTTCGCACATACTCTCCCCTCTTCGTTTTCACCACCAGCGTCTTCATGAGAGCCTGGGTCTTCTCTAGCCTGATCTGCTGCAGCAGCTCCCTGAAGGTCCTCCTTGCTATTGACTTGTGCCCCTGGTGGCCCACACTGTTGCCAAATCCATAATGTCACCATATCCCCTACCAGCCGGAAACCTTTTTCCTTAGTGTGACAGGAAAAGCTCTCCCTAATGTGGCCTTTGTCTCGCTCTCACCACCTCCAGCCCTGGACCTGCTGCCCTCACAGTGTTCCCAGCACATAGTCCTGCCGCATCACCCTTCAATGATGCCAGTGCTTTAGAGGGGAATGCTACTGCCTCCTTACTGTCCCACCTCCACTCACCTCAGTCAAACATTCCCTCACCACCTCTCTGATGTTCTGCTTCTCATTCTCCAGGCTCCCACCTCTGCCCTTAGATGCCTCATGCCCTGTCCAGTCTCCAGAATGGTACATGCCACATTGTATTATGGTGATGTTTTTCTGTAGTCCTTACTCTTTGCTACATTTACCATGAGGCGTTTATTCATTGATTTATTCCCCGAGCCCAGCCATGTTCAGTCAATATGTAATGACTAAATGATGAATGTCCATGAGCTACATGAAGATGCATGTGGGAGAAATGTTATCCAAGAAACTTTTCAGTGTTCTCTGAGACTAACCTCAACTTCTTTTATCCCCTAAAACATCACGTAGAATCTTTTGATTGTTAGAAATGATGCCATCTTTAGAAATCAGTGGTTAGCTGCAGGAGCTACCCCAGGCTGGCTAGATCAGTTCCTAAAGGTTTGTTCAGTTCATACTATGAAGCATGGCCAGGAGTTGGGGAGCTGTGAGGGTAATTGTAAAGTGGCTGTTGTCTCTGATCATTGCAGGTATGAAACAAGACTTTATGAGGATTGGTGTCACTCAGTATCAGAGAAGTCACAGTACAACCTCTCCCAACCACTTCTGCAACGTGACCCTCAGACAAAGGAGATCACTGTCAACTTTAACCCACAGGTCATTTGGGTGGTAGTTACTTCTTTTGTGGGTCCTAAAGAAGAAAGCATTTCATAAGAATATCCAAAAGCTGCTCAAAAGAATTTATACCCTGGATTTCTTTGGGGGTATGAATCCTAAGGTGCAACATTTTCTTAAGTTGTTCGGGTTCATGTTTTGATTTAGAGTTGATCAATATGTTTGCTCTGATTTTGCACAATAGGAAATACAGGCATAGGTCACTTACCAGTAGGTACAAGTTTTGAAAAATGCATTGCTAGGCAAGTTTGCCATTGTGAGAACTTCATAGAGTTACAGGAACTAAGATACCTACAATGCCACTAGGTAATACAGTCCCATGGAACCAAGTCATACAGGTCATCCATTATCAACTGAGGCATCATTAGGTGGCTTAGGAAGATGTGGTGAAATATTCTGACCATTTAGTGCCAAACACTCCAGACCTACTTTGAATTCTTACTATATGCATAGGTCACTGACTAGATGTGGGAAATGTCACCAAGTCATGTCCCCAAGTGTATGTAAGATCTGGTTCTTATCTTCAAGGGAGCCAGACTCTAAGCATGAAAATTCTATCTTTATTACATAACATATGATAAATTCCAGGGTAGCTTTGGAAATAAGACTCTAGCCTAGGGGTTTTCATCTGGGGCAAAGGGGTACTCTTGTCTACTTGGAAATATTTTGGTTTGTCAAACTTGAAGGGAGTGTCAATGGCATCTCATGGGTTAATATCAGAGTGCTTCTAAACTTCTTACAATGCTGTGGATGGTACCCCACAATAAAAAGTAATTTGTCTGAAAATGCTACTAACACTGAAGTTGAGGACCCCTGCTTTCACTGGCTAGAAGTGGAGGAAGTCAGTGTGGACTGCAGAAAGCAGTAACCAAAGGCTAGTCCATATCAGTCCATACCGTTCAGCCTTCACTGAGTTACAAGCACTCACCTACCTGTGTCCTAATGGCCAGTTTTCCAGGAATGCATTATAGACAGAGTTGAAAAGCAAGCTAACAGTATATTGGTATCTTCTGAGAATATTTCAGTAGAACATTAGTCCCTCCCACTAGAATCAAAGTCAATAGGGATAGAAGATCTGGTTTTTTCACTTTGGCAAGACGTGAGTTATTATTGAACTCTCTTAACTACTTGGAGCAATTTCATCAGCATTCTGTGTGAGCAATATTGAATATCAAATGCTTAAGGAGAGGAATATATGTATTACATGTCATAATGTAGTTTTAGATTATAGTATAGTAATTAAGTCTTTGGTATAAGACACTAGTGAAGAGGCATCAGACTCCTCTGTATATTCCAAGGGCAAGTGCTCCATCTTCCCCAGTAAGTAACACATCGTAGATACATTCTAGATACATTCTAGGTATTTGTAGGCAATCAGAGGGCAAGGGCAGAGCAAAGAAAGGAAAGGGGAAGGAATAAATTTCTAAACAGCAGTGTGGGTTGAGAAGCTACAACTCTAACAAGTTAAAAGAAAGGTCTATATCGACCTTGACATAAACTTCAAGCAGTGTGGCTATAGCAGTGCCACTAATAATGAATAGTAACATGCTGATCAGTCTAGAGAAAACTGATCAGAGATTCATCTCTCTGGGAACAGACTAAGAATCGTATAGGTTAAGTGATTTTTTAATTTATGTAAATTATGTATTTAAATTTCTTATACCCTATTGTTGGGCTTTTAAATTCAGTTCCAGCTTGATCAGTCTGTATTTCATTGATTCCAGATGAACTTTTTTTTACATATTTACATCTCTATATTTGGTGTTTATAATTTAACAGACCGTATTTTTCTTCTTTAGTTGAAGATAAACTAATAGTGACTCTTATATGTCATGGCATCTTAAAGTGGGTAAAACCTCCTAGTTATTGGATGTAAATGGAATAAACATTCTTAGTTATTTTTGCATCCATTCTTAATAATTAATAAGTTAGCATTTGTCTTAATTCTCAGTGGGAGTATCCCACCACCAATGGAGAACTGGCACAGACCCATTGGAGTGAGAGCTGGAGGCAGAGTTTCCACTGCCATCCCTGGTGTCTCCTTTCTTGGGAAACCCTCCTCTTGCTCCTTTTTGTGAGTTTCAGAGTCGCTATATCTTGCTGCTTTTGGAGTCATTTTCTTTCTGCATAATACTTGATTTTCTTTCTTGGAAACTAGATTTAAGAAACTGATAGGAGGAGAGGTTAAGAAGAGGCCCAGAATGTCTTTGGGCCCCAGGGACTTTCCAGGCCTTGATGGATAGTGTTGCTTTCTTACCATTCCTGAACGATAGCCACTTGTTTTGTTTTTTCCTCCAGCTGATTTCAGTGCTGAAAGAAATGAGCTATCTTGAGCCCAGAGATATGAATCGCATCCCTGAGACAGCAGCAGCCATGTTATCCTCCAGGGAATTCTATCGGCAGCTTGTGGCCAACTTGGACTTGATGGCAAATTGGTACAACAAGGTTGTGACAACTCTGCTAGAGGTGGAAGCTCCATTAGTGGAGGGAGAGCTGCAAAATATCGATCTCTGCCTGAGAGCTGCAGAGGAGACTCTCAACTGGAAAACAGAAGGTAACAGGGCACCACCCGCAGTCTGAAAGAAACACTGGGACTCAAGGGTCTAATAAAGTTAATAGAATCTCAAATTATTTTCTGGTAATCTGATTTGGGTTAGAAACATAAGTCCATCTTCTCCTCAGACACATACCCCAGTAGATAAGCTAGCAGGGTTAGAATTCCTCTTCTTTCCTTTCTTGGAATATGATGGGTAGATTTAAGAAACTTCGCTGCCTGCATTTTGAGAGATTCAGGTTGCATAAGATCCCAGCACTTAATGGACACTCCGTGAATGGGAGCTTTTACTATATGATTATCATTATTTAGTTTTCTTAACTAGCTTGTAAATATTTTAAAGGAGGGAATGAGGCATTTACTTCTCTAGTATCCTCCAATTCAATTTGGTGAGCTTTCATTGATTGGTTAACATATGCCATGTACTATGTGAGAGACGCAGGAAGAATATGAGGTTCAAGGTACATGGGACCTGGAACATGATCTCTATGCTCAAAGTGCTCCTATTTAGTGGAGAAAACAGGCATGTGTGTAACCTAAGTTATAAAAGATTGGCCATGATAAAAACCCAGTATGGAGGTAAAAATAAAGTGGGGAGAGTTACAGAGGAGGGAGATTAAGTCAAGTTAGAGTCCTCAAAAAAGTGAAAGTTTGAAAAGAAAGTCATAGCCAACTCATGAAAGTTCTGGAATGTCATACTAAACAAGTGAGGACTTTATTCTACATACAAGAGGGAGTGACATTCTCAACACTTAACAAGTTGAAAGTGCCAAAAATTGATTAATCAATATGAGGTCATCAAATTGCCCTGGTATCTGAATGTAAAATTTTATTCCCTAGCAATTGTACCAGCTTTTATGTAATTGGTCTGTAAGCATTACTCCTTTGTCTCTCTGAAATCCTCACTTAAATCCTCCATAATCAGGATTATGGTAAAGGTTGGCTTTTTAATATAACTAGGAATGAAACAATTTTTGATGATAATGAAGTAACCTATATAGAAAAGTCTCATAAAATCTGCAAACATTAAATTTCTAGCTTTTGTAGCAAGCAGTCTTTTAGATATGCCATTATGAAGTATTTCAATTAATAATATTTCTTTGTGGGAGCAGGAATTTGGGATTATGTTATTCAAATCACCAATAGTATTCATGATCTTGAACAAAGAATTCAGAAAACTAAAGACAATGTAGAAGAGATTCAAAACATCATGACAAAATGGATGACTCCGATATTTAAGAGAAAAGATGGAAAAAGGGAATGCCTTCTCTCTCTGGATGACCAACACGATCGAATTGAAAAATATTACAATCTCATCAAAGAATCTGGCTTTAAAATTCATGCCCTTGTTCAGGTAATAACCAGCCTCTCAGGTACATATAATGAGAGTAAAGGAAAAGAGCCAAGAAGAATGTTTGGATGCAAAAAGTGGTTTGGAAATTAGAACAATCAACAGATGCTCTGTCTTTTGAAGTCAGGAATAAAAGTTTATGCTGATAGCAAAAGCTATCACCATAAACTAATGGATAAAGCTAATGGATAGAAGAAATGAAAAGTCACATTGTGGTATCATTTTGTCAAAATTATCACGATCTTAATGGTAACACCACTTGGTTGACAAGGGTTAGAAGGAGATGCCAAGGGCAGAATCATAAATTAGACACTGCACTAACCACTGCATCCCCAAATCTCCCACACAAGCTATGTGGTCCTCCAGCATCATTCTTATCATCTATGTCTAGAGTCTAGAGAGATGAAATAGTATGATGCTCCTGACTGCATCTGATAAGAAAAGGAAAGACTTCATGCAACAAGCCTCTGCCCTGTTCTGGTCAGGGCAACTTCATGTTCGACATTGAAGGCTAACACTTCCTTGTGAGCAACGGGAAAAGATATAAATGACCACCAGCTCCTGTTGGTCAAAGTAACCAGGGCAGAGTCTGACCTGTTGACAATTCCCAGAAGTCAGGAATGAATCACAATTGTTATATATGGATTATCTGTGATTTGAAGTACATAAAATGCCAGGCCTAAAGCACTAATGGTGACAACAGTTAAGTGAAAGAGATAATTGCCCAAGTTTTGCCTTTGACAGATAAATTTTGCCTTTGAAATCCTCAATGTGACGTATTTTTTTAATCCCTCTGGGCCATGTATCCAATTTGCTAATTTCTAGACAAAATAGTAGATATGATTTTGATTGTAATTATGTTGAACCTATAGATTAATTTGAAGAAAATAAAAATTCTTAATATTAAATGTAGCCATCCATAAACATGGCATGTCTCTTCACTTAGTTAGATCCCTCTAATTTTTCTTTGTAACATTCTACAGTTTTTAGTGTAGATGCCTTGCACTTTTTTTGTTAAATTTATTACTGCTTTGCAGTGCTACTATAAATTGAATTATTTTGTTTATTTTAGTTTCTAACTCCTATCAGCTGGTATATAAAGTATAATTTTTTGCATTGATACTATGTTCTGTAATCTTTCTAAATTTATCAGGTTCAATAGCTATTTTGTAGATTTCTTTTGATTGTCTATACAAATAATCATGTCATTTGCAAAACAGACAATTTTGCTTCTTCTTTTCCACTCTTTATGTCGTTTATTTCCTTTTCTTGCCTTATCGCTCTGGCTAGGACCTTCAGACCAGTGCTGAAGCTGTGAGAGTGGAAAGTCCTCATTTCTAATCAGCTGGAGAAAAATTTAATAATTCACTACTAAATATAGCATTTGCTGTAAGGTTTTAATTGATGTTCATTATCAGATTCAGGAAGTTCTCGTAGTTGAAAGATTTTATCATGATTTAATGTCAAATTTTATCAGTGATTCTTCTGCATTTCTTCAGGTGGTTGATTGTTATTGATTGTTATTGTTATTGTTATGAGGTGGTTCTTTGTTATTTTCTTTGTTATTGATCTTAATATCTATGAAATCAGCCTTGGATTTATGAAATAAACCCACCTGGTTATATTGTGTTATTCATTTAAATATTATAAAATTTGATTTACTAATTTTAAAGGATTTTGTGTTTATGAATGACATTGATTTTTTTTCTTTTGATGTTCTTTTGTCAAGATTACACAAGCCTTATAAAATGAGTTTGGAAGTATTTTCTCCACTATTTTCTGAAATACTTTATGCAAGTTTTGCTAGGAGTTTAAAAATTTTTATGAATCTTTTCAAACAACCAAATCTTCACTTTGTTAATTTTCTCTATTGATCTTGATCTTTTTTAATTCATTAATTGCTCTATTTTTGTTATTTAATTCTAGTTTGTTTAGGGTTAATTGTGTATCTTTTTTCCTAACCTCTTAAGATACACACCTTTCTCTTTACTATGGTAATATGATGATATGAATTTTTCTTTAGCTAGTCCTTTAGCTTCATACCACAAATTTGATCAACAATTTGAAATATTTTCTCTTATTATTTCTTTAATTTAATGGCCATCTTAGAAGGCTATTGATTAATTTAAGGCTTTTCAATATACAAATGAAATCAATATCTGATTTCAATCTGGTTAGAGAAGATATTTCATAAGACCTTAGTCTTTTGAAATTGAGACTTGTTTTATGACCTCAAATATGGCCTATCTCATTGAATATTTCTTGGATACTTAACTGTAGTGCTATTATTCTGTTGTTGAGTGTAGTGTCTTATAAAAATGAATTAGTTGAAAGCAATTGATAGTATTGTTTTGATCTTTTGGATGCTTTCAGACTTTTTTGTTCCATTAATTACTGAAAGTAAAGTATTAAAATCTCTACCTACAGTTGTGGATTTGTCTATTTAATTCATCCTTTAGTTTTGTATGAATTTTCAGCATGTGTTTAAAGCTCTGTTAGCAGGCACAAACACATTTTTAGTGGTCATAACTTTTTGATGAGTTAACTATATCATCATGAAATTTCCTTTTTATTTCTAATAATACTCCCTAGTCTCAAAATCTATATTTTCTAATAATATAGCCTTTCCCTCCTGATTTATTACTCCTTCCTATTTTTACATTGTCCATATTTTCTGTTTTACATTTGACCCATTTTTTTCCTTTGTGTTCAAATTTCTTCTCTTTATAGATAGCATACAGTAAAATTTTACACTTCTTAGTTTAACAAGTCTTCTAATTGCAATGTTTACACTATTTACATTAAATATAAATATTGTTGGTATGGTAGGGTATAGTTCTATCATTCTGCTCCCTGTTTTCTATTTGCTTTTGTTTGTTTTTATTTTTGTTTTCTGGTTTCTCAGTTGTTCTTTTCCACCTTCTTGTTGAATAGTTGTGGGGGTTTTTTAGTGTTCTATTTAAATTTCTCAGTTGGATTTCACCTTTGCCTTTTTGCATTACAATTCTAGTGGATATTCTAAGTTTAAGAATGGATTTTGAAATTATCACAACCTACTGATGGTTTTCTTGTGAAGTGTAGGAACCTTGCAAAAGTAGTTCAGTTTATTCCCTTACTCCATCTTTATTTCCCTTACTCCAATTATTGTGTGGTATATAGGATATAGATTGCTATATTATACATTAGTATATTATATATTACTATTTTAGTATATATTAAATCCCATAGTACAATATTAGTATATCTTTTGCATTAAAATTTTAAGAAGAAATAAAGAGTTCACTAAAAAATGTATACACATTTTAGGAAAAGAAAACCTTATATAGGGCCGGGAATTTAGCTCAGTGGTTTCGCCACCTGCTGTGCAAGCGCAAGGACCCAAGTTCGATCCCCGGTACCAAAAAAAAAAAAAAAAGAAAGAAAACCTTATATAAATATTTTAATACTAAACTTATTAAGATATCATGAGATAATACAAGTTACCTTTGGCCTCTACAATTACAAGAGGTGCCCAAAGTGGCGGCCATGAGCTTCCAGACATTTATTAGTATGGTGAACTGCTGCCTGGCTAACCCTAGTCAAAGTGTCCATCGAGATTGCTGCGCATGCATTTTCAATTTCTTCCCTACAGGCCGGCAGTGTAGTGGGTTATTGGTGATATATGACATCTTATGGGGATCCCCATAGATAAAAGTCTGCAGGTGATAAATCAGGAGAAATGTCCACCTTATACAAGTTTTTCTTTTCCTGAAGCATGTATACATTTTTTTGGTAAGCTCTGTATTTATTGATAGTGTTTCATATTTATCCACATAGTCACAATTTTCAGACTTGCTCATTCCTTTCTGTAGACCTGAATTGCCATCTTGGGTCATTTCTCTTCATCCTAAAGAAATTTGGCTTGCTTATGACACGTTCTTTTCATTTTTATCTGAAAATATCCTCATTGTGCTTTTGTTTTTAAAAGATAGTTTCATTGGAAATATAACTCTATGTAGTTTTGTTTTATTTTCACAAGTCATTTCATCATCGTCAATTCTCCAGTGTTTCTCAGGAGAAGCCAGCCATGAGCTACATGTGTGTTTTTTTGTATGTGATGCATTGCCTTCTCTCAGGTTGCTTTTAATAGATATTTAGTCTCTGACATTTTTTTCCAGAATAGCTATGATATGCCTAGGTAAATTTTCATTATATTCATCCTACTTGGAGTTTGTAAGCTTTTAGGTCTGCCTTTCTTTCTTTCCAAATTTGGGGAAGTTTTTTTGCTTGTTTGTTTATTTCCACAAATATGGTATTCTTGCCTGCTAATTCCAAAATCTGCTATTTTCTGAGGTTTTTTTTTAATGAGACAGAAATTTGTTATTCTATCCCAGAAAATAAGTGTAACAGGTAAGCACTGTAGTGTTGGTATGATAGCTATGAAATCAGAGACCTAACCAGATAGTGGTCTGAGTTTATTCCCATTGACCATTTTGTCTTTGGATTAAAGTTCCATTTTTCTCTTTCTTTGCATATCTAGCAGTTTTTAATTATGTGCTAGAATGCTTGATGCCATTTGAGGATCTCTGTGTAGTTTCCTGTGAAGAGTCTGAGATTTTGTTTTGGCAGACAGTGAACTTCCAGATAGATCGCCTTGATCCTCCTGAGGCCCACTTGTGAGGTTACTGAGGGAGGGTCTAAAGGGGACTTACCAAAGGATCCAAAGTGTGGTGTCTGACTGGAGTTTCTGGTTATCTGAAAGGTCTTTTCTTTTTTTTTTTAATTAAATTCTTTTATTGGTACATTGTAGGTATACAACACAATTACATTTCTCATTGGGAATTGTACCTTTACATAATGCATCTTGGTTCTTATTTTTTCCCCATTCCTAGCCCTCCCTTCACACCCTCCACCCTTCCCTATTTACAAAGACTTTATTTCCATTTTTTCCATTTCTCAGCATTTTTTCCTTTCCCTTCTTTCCTTTCCCCTGCCCCTCCCACTACCCCTACCCCTTTGGACCTTTTCTTCCTATTTTACATTATCAGTCATTCATTCTAATCATTGGTACATTTTAGGTATACAATATAATGACATTCATCATTGGAAATTTGCACCTTTACATAGTCTCTCTTGGTTCTTATTTTTCACCCTTGCCTAGCCCTCCCTTCAACCCCTCCAGTCCTCCCTATTTACAAAGATTTTGTTCCTATTTTTCCATTTTCTCATATTAATCCCATTCCCTTCTATCCTTTCCCCTAGCCCTCCCACTTCCTTCCCCTTTGCCCCTTTTCTTCCTATTTCACATGACCTATTATACATTTAGTCCTTATTTACACTTGTCTGAAAGGTCTTTTCATCATTCCTCACAAACCTTTAACATCTCCCAGCACTTCACCTACCTCACTTACGTTCGTCTTCACAGCCCTGAGACTGTTCTGAGCCCGCTCTTCTAGTCTTGCCTTAAACATGTACAACTAATATTCAGTCAAAGGTGGGAGAAGACCCAACTCCAATTTCTGTCTTCTCTTCCTATCATGAGAGATGTTTTAGCTGAGCTCCATTTTCCATGGTTTGCATTTAAACCACCTGGATTTAAAATTGACCTTGAATATTTCCCTTCTTTCAAGGATCACATCCCTATTATTCAATTACCCAAAACAATTATTTCTTATACTATATCCAGTCCTCTAGTTGTTTGTGGCAGAAAGGCAAGTACAGTCTCATTCTTAGGTCTTGGATGAGACCAGAAACTTGAATTATTTCTTATTACTTCACAGAAAATTCCAAAACATTTATTCTTTTTTTTTTTTTTTTTGGTACCGGGGATCAAACTCGGGTCCTTGCACTTGCGTAGCAGGTGGCGAAACCACTGAGCTAAATCCCCGGCCCACAAAACATTTATTCTTTTGACTACTGTAGATTTGAAGTAGTAAACAAAGGTGAAAGATAGAGATAGCTATATTGATAGTTGGGGCAATTTGAAGGAGATAGAGCAGTCATTAAAACTAAGTTATTTAATCCAGAAGCAAACAGACATTCACATCTTTCTGTTTGTGAACAACTTTGCATCATCACTATTATGATTTTAATGATAATGGAATTTAAGTCATTAAGAAAATATTAAATCTACTTAGAAAGGAAAGGTGTTAGTAATGCATCTTAAAAATTTTAGACTCGTGCAACATAAAAGAGGGATCATGAGATTGTTTAAATCCAGGAGGACTCATAACAATGGTTCCTAAAGGGATAAGCATGAGTCAACTGGGAAAGTCACTTCTGCAAATTAGTTACTGCCTTCTCTGAAGCTATCAGATAATTGGAATGGTGCTGTAAAAAGACTGAATAATGAAAATGATGAAAAGTAAATCAGATGTTTGTACTTGTTATTGCTGAACATTTGGGCTCCTTCTCCTTGAAGTCCAAATCTTGTTACTATGGTAATGCTGCAAATCCTCCAGGTCAGGAGCTGTATGATGTGAAAAAGAAAGAGGGGCGAGGAGAGTGAAAAAGAAGAAGGCGGGGCTGGGAAGGAGAGAGGAGAGAGGGGAGGAAAGATGGAGAGAGATATTTGCTTACGTGTATGTGTTTTTCTAGATCACTCAATATGATAAAGGCTTTTAGTTATTATCAAATACCTATCCTAAAGCACTTTAGTTCATTTCTAAGGATTATCCAGGAAATGCTTCACTTATTAAATTTCTCATGAACCCTGAGACATAGTACACTTTACTCTTACTCTTCTTTTCTTTGCCTACCCTGCCATCTGCTCTAATGTAGATTCCTCTACAGTATATCCGTCAGCATTTACAAAGTGCACACACATTTCGTATATCAGTATTCCTTCTGAGAAGGTAGCATGGCCCAATCCTCCTTTTACAGGGACAGGACAGGCTACCATATTTCCATCAGGGACTAATTTTACATCCCTTTCAGTCCATGGTTATACCCAATAGACAAAATCGAGTCAATAGATCAATACTAGCAAATTCTTCCCATGAGGGTTTTTCTGTATATATTGTTTTCATTTCTATTAATAACGTTTATACCAGTTATTCCATGATATTCAATGTGATTTATATCTTGTCTCCTTTTTGTAGGAAAACTTGGGTCTATTTTCAGCAAACCCAGCCTCCAGTGTCTGGAAGAGTTATGTTAACTATATTGATGACATGTTGCAGAATGGATTATTTCTTGCCATTAAGTGCTCACTCAAATTCCTCTTGGAAAACACTGGTACTTAGCGGTTTATGGATGTGGGTTATTATTGGAAAGCTAATATTAATAGCATCTGCTGTCCTGAAGAGAAGTGCAATTGAGTGTACTGTGATTTTTCCCAAAATGCTGTGGATATTTTCTGAATGATACACAGTAAACCAGTAAAAGTATTGAGTTTCTGAATTTTCCCAAGAAAAGATTTCTGACTCTTTGAACCCAGGTGGACAAACCAGGCTCCAAGATAGTGAAGCCCATAGCAAAAGCCAAAACATAAAAGTTGATTAAATTGCAGTCAAGGTCCAGGAGAGGAGTGACTGAGCTGAAGCAGTAAGAAGCACGATTGGTAATGAGGACCTCCTCCACACTAGACTCTGGAGCGAAGAGGAGGCCACCCTGGGCCCCTAAGCTCCACACACTTTTACTCTATGGCCTTTTGGGAACACTGGCAAGTTGGGGAGGTCAGGCTAAGTGGAAAATAAAAGAAGATTTTATGTGTGAAAGAAAGATAGACAAGAAACAGAAAATAATTTTAAGAAGGAAAAGGAATTTTAGAAGCTATTGAGCATTAAAAGCTATTCAAAATAAGTAAGGGCTTTGAATTTATGGTGGATAAACTGGAATGAGGTGTGCAGAAGCAAAGATCCACTAAGGGCTAACCGTGGCTGGTAAGTGATGAGGCAGAAGGGGAAGAAGAGTTAAGAACTAAATGTTGAATTCAGTCCTCACATTCTGGAATAACCTGAGTTGTCTAGCGAAGGTCATATTGAAGGATGAGTCAAATAAAAAGTCAGAGGTGAGAATTTTGAAGCCAAAAGATGAAAGTGAGACGAGCATTCAAGGGGTCAGGGATTTAGCTCAGTGGTTCCGCCGCCTGCCCCACAAGCTCAAGGACCAGAGTTCGATCCCTGATACCAAAAAAAAAAAAAATACATTGAGATGAGCATTCAAGTTGTCAAATCCAACTCAAAGACAGAAATCAAATGCAGAGTTAATATAAGACAGTCAAGATGTGTCCAGATATCTAGCCCATATAAGAAAGCACAGCAGAGACCTAGGCTGAGAATACAGAGAGGAGAAAGGCCCAAGCTGAGTGTTGCCCAGTGAGGAATTCTGGGGCCCCTAGGGAGAGAGAGACTGAGGTGTCAGGATGGACTCTGCCAGAAGAATGCAAGGATCTCCAAATCAAGGAAATCTGGCAGCAGGATCGAAGGGATTCAGCATAGTCACAAGGGAAAGATCATCTTCTAGGTCTAGTGTGAGTAAGCTGAGGGGCAGGAAGCACAGGCCCCAACACTGGAGAGCTGAGCCCAGCAATGGTGGTGCCCACTTCAGCGAGTTGGCCAAACTGCTGCTGGTGTTGGAGGTTCACTCAGCCCTCTCCTGGATCTAGGAGGATGCCTGGGCTACAGATGGGTGCAGGCAATGAATAGAGATAGTATCTGCATATAGTGACTGGACCCCAGCCCCCTGCCAGTGGTTCTCAGCCTCTCCTGACCTGAGCTGTCTGATGTACCACTTGTCCTCTTGTAGGAAGGGCAGAGTGGGAACAAGGAAGTGGAGAGAACAGATGGTAGTCTTTCTCCAGAACCATCAGTTATCTTCCTTCCATGGAAATAGCAAGACAGGAGAATATCTTTTCTTCACAATGGAGACCTTTCAAATTCTTTCAGTGGGCGGGAGCTGGGCTTAGTAGTTGCTGGAGTGAGGGACTATAAATATGAAAGGCACCGGTTTCCTGGTTGGAGTGGGAAGTGGAAGAGCCTAAAAAGAGCAGCTTTTTCATTTCAAGTCCATCTTATCATTTTTACTTCTTGGATTTGGTGAGGCCATATGGTTCCAATGGCTTGGGCTGGCCTCCTTGTTGTCTTTCAAAGTCCAAATCCTGCACAAACAGCAGATTAAATGCTACCCTTTCCAAAAAAGAGGAGGTTCTCCCTCCTCTTTCCTCCTAAAATGATTTGCTTGTACCAAGATTGTGGGACTAAGAGACTCTGTCCTGCATGATTACATTTGCACTATCTCCAATGTGGGGTTTAGATTCTCATGTCGGCACATGAGGCATATCTCATACAGTCAAAATATTCTTTATTAATTTATAAATATACAGTATTTATAGTCATAAACATTACATCATAAGTACATATGTACATTTAACATTCCTAATTTGAAAATTTGAAACTCAGAATGCTATGAAATCTTAAGTTTTTAAGCTTCAAAAGTTTTGGATTTCAGAGGATATTAGATTTTGGCATTTTGGATTAGGGGTGCTCTAACAATAAAGTCTATGCAAATATTCCAAACTCAAAAAAAAAATCCAAAATCTGAAATATTTTTGTTCCTAAGCATTTTAGTAGGCTAGAAATTGCAGCTCCTCCAGTCTCGAAGACCTTATTCTCATTCTGTGTTGAGCCATCATGACCACATTCAAGCTCTTCTTCTGCCCCAAGGGTCTCAACCCAAAAATGGCACCATTTCTGGCTCCCATGTTCCACTGTGGGGAAATCACTTTGCCACATCTAACAGCACATGGGGCTGAGAGATTTGACCACATGCTCAGTTAAAGCCCTACTTCTAGAGACTAAGAGGACAATGGATTTCACTGAGTAGTCTCCTCTGCTCACAATATCCACTTCATAATAGGCTCCTAAAAATGTTTACAATCAACGATATATGAAAATAAATGGTTAGTGGTACAACTCTAAGCATTTATCTTCTACTTGGAACATTGTGCTCCATGTTGTATTTTGATTTAAATTTAGCAAGGCAAGTTAGTCTAGCAAGTAATCAGGAATTTGTGAATTATTTATGCTGTTTTTAAAATTTTGATCACTACAGGACTACAGAATTAAAATAAGTTCTGTGTTTTAAGAAAGGGAGCAAAAAGGGTATGGTCATAATTCCTCTTTGATTTTCACGCCTATGCAACCATTGGCAAGCTTACCTCATTTGTTTAGTGGTTGCCAGTGGAATAGCATGACCCAGGAAGAAACAGTCTGCTTGTAAGAAATGGCTTTGAAAAATCAGCCTCTTCTCAGGGAAAGGAAGCTCTGTCCCCGAGAGGCATGTGAGAATATGGAAGGGGACTGGCTTTCATCGCTTGGTCATGGGGAATCATGTCAGGAGAAAAAGGACAGTAAAGGTACTGCAATGCCCAAAAGATCCTTGTGCAAAAATTGCCTTATCCAAAATATCAATGGCTGCACTGTGAGAAACCCTGCAAGACTCTGTCCCTCACCTTCCCCGATGAAGTTTCTATTTCAATTTTTCTACATTCTGAAGAAACACTCTGGTTATTTTAAAAGTCTTCTCTTTCGCCAATTTCACCCATTCATCATGGTTCTGTTGGTGTTTTCATTGTTTTCCAGAGTGTAAGATGGGACTCACCCCAATATTTGAAGCACAACTCAGCCTCAACATCCCAGAATTAGTTTTCCATCCCTCTCTGGAGTCTGGAGTGAAGGGGGGCTTCTATGACATTGTTGAGAATCTCATCACTAGCATTTTTGGGATATCATCTCTGGTGCCACGGCTTTCCCTGAAAAATGGCTCTCCCCACTATCAGGTACTAAACCTGCAATCATCTGCTCTCCAGCCACAACAGGAACATCCTACCAAGCACCTGTATAACCTCCCTGGTGTTTTGTCACTTCTCCAGGTCGCACTGGAGGGCATGGCCGACCTGGCAAGCATGCGGAACACGCTCATGCAGAGGGTCCAGAGCATGATGACCCTCTGCAGTGGCTATCTGAACACATTCAGCCAGTATTCCTACCTTTATGTGGAGGACCGTAAGGAGATTTTGGGTCAGTTTCTGTTGTATGGTCATGTCCTCACACCCGAGGAGATTGACGCTCATGCAGAAGATGGCATCCCAGAGAGTCCACCCCTCCTACATCAGTACAAAGCACAAATTGACTCCTATGAGAAGCTCTATGAAGAGGTGTGCAGACTGGAGCCCACCAAAGTGTTTGACAGCTGGATGGAAATCAATGTACGGCCCTTTAAGGCATCTCTGATGAATATAATTAAAAAGTGGAGCCTCATGTTTAAACAGCATCTCGTTGACCATGTCACTAACAGGTAACAGTTGTCCTAGCTTCCTTTCAGCATCCAAGGCTGCCTGTAATACCATGCTTGTGATCATCTTCATATTTTTCCCAATGGGAGGATAGGCTAAATTAAAAATTACAACAGCTGGTTGCATGTTCCACTCCTTTGGACACCAGGGGAACTTCAGTTCTGCCTTTTCTTTTGTTCACCAGATAAAGCCTCTGTTTTAAATTACACTTAGTGCCCAGGGGGTGAAAAGCGCTCAGTAAGTGATAAATAATGTTCAGGGCAATAATCACAGATCCAACCGTCCTTCACAACTCTCACTGTGAAATTTCTTTAAGCCTGGGAAGCAGAGAGGGCCTAATGAACCTCTTAGATTTTATTTTTGCCACTTACTCCTTGCCTCAGATGATCCAGCTGTGTCCGGTTGAAATCAGTAGAAGCCCCAACTCCTGGGTGCCTGTCTGTGCCCTCCTGGTTGTACTACAGACTGTATCTGAAATTGCCTGCCCCACAGTGAACCCTGACCATCCAGCTCAGCACTGTGCTTTCTAATCCAGAGTGTCGTTCCCTGAAAGAATGATTCAGTTGGTCAGCAGTCCCCTGGTCACTCTACCTCATCCTTGTCTCCAAAGGTCTGCCACGGTTAAAATCTTGACCCTCATCCCACTCAGAATCCTGAGGTGAAACACCCATAGTTCCTTTGGTTCAGGGATTTCCCTTTGGTGTGTCAGATGACGCTGCCAGGAAGACAAACAGACCCCCTCCTTACTTTGGTGCTGGTCTTGCTCAACGCTGCTGCTGGCTGTTCTGTGATCTAGAGCCATGAGCAGAAAGGAAATACCAAAATTCAGGATTTATCTATCTTAAACTCCAATAGACTTTGCAAGGGTGATGTCCACCACTTTAGGAAATCCAGGAAATCCTTGTAGAGGTGTTTTGAAGAGGTCTTCCCAGGTGTTAAGAAGCAGCAGCCAGTTTTTCACATGCATAAAAGCTTTTGCTCACTGAGGAAACCAGGGGCAAGATGAAGAAGTGCTGGTGGGCAGCAGGGCAGTGACTGATGCATGCACATGAAGCACCATTGCAGTGGACAGCTGCTTTGGGCCTCCACTGGTAGATCTAATAGTCAAAAGCGTGTGACAGATTTTTATTTCTTTTTTTTTTTTTGTACTGGGGATTGAACTCGGGTCCTTGTGCTTGTGGGGCAGGTGGCAGAACCCCTGAGCTAAATCCTCGGCCCTGCAGATTTTTAAATGTAGATTTTGTTATGATTTTGAAATGAGAAGGCCAGCAGTCCAGGAGATGGTGGTTATCAAAAATGTAGTTTGTTATTCACATTTCCCCAAAAGAGGTGCTAGGCCAGGCCACACAAGACCACAGAGGCAACCACCCACTTCAGCCAGGGTGGGGATAAGGGAGGAAGTATGGGGAAGAGAGTGTGGTGTCTGTGGAAAGGAATGGGTGAGGCAGGTAAGCAAGCTTAGGCTCGGTGTGTGAGACTGATTTCTGTGGGCTCTGAGACATAATGGCTGTCTCTTGTCCAGTTCCTGGCCTGGGATGATGAGGGAAGTGTCCCGGATGGAGGAGGAGGCTGGGCTCTGAGTTTGTTGGTTTACACTTGAAAAGTGTGGTTGCAGGTCTGGCATCTCAAGGGATTGGATGACCCTCCAAGGGGAAATCCTATCAGGGTCTGCAAGGTCCCAAGTGTGAAAGGATCAAACAAGGTATCATTTATTACTCACTACAGCAGCTACCATGGACATCTACCAGGTAAAGCTTAAGAGGATGTAACAGATGGCCTAACAGAATAAACACATGGTACAGTAGCCAGGAAGCCTGGGTTCTTGCCCTTGCTATTTCCTCATCTCTGAAGAAAGGCAGTAAAAATGGTTTCATCTAAGAAGGGTTCCAGGTCTGACATCAAGTTACTTACTCCATTAACTTTGCTACACTTCAGAATGTTTTATTGTGTTCTTGAGGATTAGATAAAAATAGAAATAGTACAAAATATAAAAACAATTTATTCCTACACAACGGGGCAAGAGGTGGGGCCTAGAGGGGGAAGATGTCCTTGTTTTGCAGGGCTGCTTCTACATTACTCATCCTGCTTCTCCCTCAGAATCACCACCCCTCGTGCAGTGACTTCTATCAGATAGTACTAACTGCCACTCAGCCTTGCTGCAGTCACCTGCCAAGCTCTTGGTCATTCTTCCTCATCACTGAAGATCTTATCCTCTGGTTCACATCCTTCCATCCCCACATTTCTGCCCGATAATTACCCTCAGTAGCCTCACATCCCCAGTCTTCACTGCTGCTCCCCCTTATCTGTTGATTTCCTGGCTGTGGTGCTCTTTCCTTTAGCCACATGAGTGCTGTCTAGTTATACACTGTGCTCCCAGAAGGGGGAGGGGAGATGGGGAAGTAATTGCTCTCTCTTCAAAAGCTCAGGGGTAAGCATTGCATTTTCTTTTCCTTAAATTCTTTTACTGGTACATTTTAGGTATACAAGATGTTTACATTTATCATTGGGTGCTTGTACCTGTACATGATGCATCTTGGTTCTTATTTTTTCCCCATTACCTGTGTGCCCTTC